GTAAGTCACGAACAAGGCCACACCAGTTTGGAGTTATGATTAATAGGGTGTTATTTATTTAAAGGGGAAAACTTACAGATCACCGTCCCAGACAACAGCCATCTGCACAACCAGGAAGGGAGTCTAGTCTCCGGCAGAGCAGGAAGTGAAGAGAGCAAGCAGAGGAAATAGCCGCTTTTTTAAAGGGAGAGAGACCACGCCCCAATGGGCTGGTATCACAGCAGCTATTGGTTGGAGGGGTGGAAGGACCTCCCGCAACACTAAATAATTTAATATATTAAATAATTTAATGTATTATTCCTATTATTAACAGATCATTTATATGAATGACATCATTTTAGAATGAAAAAAAATGAGGGATGGATGTTTCAGTGGAAATTGGAGTCTAGAAAGACTTCTGAGTTGTTCTGAGAGTATTGTTGTTCTTTCCAAGGGCCCAAATTTAATTCCTTGCACCCAAACAGTGGCTTGCAAGAGTCAGTCACTCCAGGGTATTTGACTCTTTGTCTCCTTATGCTCCCCATGGACACTAGATATATATGTCCTACATAGACATATATGCAGGCAAAATAGCCAAATGCATACAATATTCTTTTTGCTTTTTAAAGAGTTTAAAGGATTTCTTGGTGGTGTGATTCTAAAAGGAATTTGTAAAATATTTCTCAGTTATTTTCTGCCTAATGAAAGCTAGTGAAAGGTGAATGTTTTGATTCTTTACTTTACTGCTCGGTTATAGAAAATCATTTAGAAATTTTTCTTTCTATATCACTGTTATAGATTTCTTTTATGAATTTCATTTACATACATTGTGAAGAACCAATATCACAAGTGAAAAATTAATTATTGTCATATATACATGTCATCACTTTTCTGATATAATAATTACCATCTATTAAATCTTAGAGAAACCAATTTTCTTTGTCAAACATTCAAAATTACATTCTTATGATGATTTTTCTTTAAAATACTTAGAATATAAATAATTGTCTTTCTTATATTTCAATTTTTCTGTTTATCAGAATGGTGAATGTGTTTATCAAAATGAATAGGAGTTTTAAATAGTCTTTTGGTTAATATTCAATATAGATAATCACATTTTAAATTTTTGATCAAATTGTACAAATTAGGTTCTTTGGAAATTTGTTTTACTTGGTGTATCTTTGATTCCTTTTTATTTCACCAAATTCAATCTATTGACAAATTTCCAACATTATAAAAATCTTTGTTGTGTAGGAGGAAGGCCCACTTTTTTATCCTGATGCCCAGTTCCCAGTTGCCCTGATAGCTTAGCCCTGAAATAACCACACAGAAACTTTATTCATTAAATCACTGCATGGTCCATTAACTATAGCGTCTTATTGGCTAACTCTTACATCTTGATTTAACCCATTTCTAGTAATCTCTGTATCACCCTGTGACAGTGGCTTACCAGCAAAGATTCGGCATGTCTGACTCTACTGGCTCCATGGTGTCTCTTTGGATCCACCCTTCTTTCTCCCAGCATTCAGTTCTGTTTTCCCAGCCTACCTAAGTTCTGCCTTATCAACAGGTCAAGGTGTTTTCTTTATTCATTAATGCTAATGATAGTACACAGACCCCTCCCACATCATTGTTGTATTTCATAGTCTTGATAACAATGAAGTAAAGCTTTTGTAGATTAAATAATTTAGTAGGAAAATTAATACATTCCTGATTGTTCTCTCTATCTACCTTGATCTCTTTTTATTTTTTATTTTTAAATATGTTTATCTATGTTTTTATGTGCACATTACTACAGGTGCCTATGTACTTCAGCAGCAGGGGATCCTTGGGCTAGTTGGAGGAACCATTAGTGGTGAATCTCCTAACTTGAATGCTAGGAACTGTAATCTGGTCTGCAATAGCCATAGATCACTGAGCTACTTCTCCAGCCTTTCTATCCTGATTTTTATGCTCTTGGAGCTGGCTCTAAAACATAAGTCTGAAAAAACTAGACATTGAGGTTTATCAGAATTTCAATTTGACTGGAATCAATAGTAGCAAAATTTGCAAATTTCACTGTTTTCTACACTAGACTGTAATACACACATATCCACCTATTTGTGTGTGTGTGGGTGTGTGTCTTGTCTGTGTATGTATGTATTTATATTTTATTTTTTTGGTATAATATGGTTAAAATGCCTATGTGATCTTTCATCTCAGAGGATAAATTTTGTTGTATTTAGCAAATCTCATTATAAAATCAAAAGTAATTTACTAATGTCTTAACAATTGACCAGTATGGTAACAAGAAATTCAATAGGTTGGTTTCCGCCAGCAAAAGTGCAGGACATTTAACATGTAGAGAATATCCCCAATGTAAAGCATTCTAAGGAAACTGATAATTCTTCTCAACCTCTATCCATTTAGAAGTTATAAATGAGATGCGATGTGCAAAAAACAAAGTTTCTAGATATGATTTATTTGTGGGAAGTTGTTGTGACACACTCTCACCAAATGGGAGAAGATAAAGGTTCTATTTCTACTTAGTGTTAATAAAGAAAGGCCTCAATAAAAATATAGCAGTTAATGTTTATTAATTTCACTTAATAGAATCTTGGAACACACAAATGGATTCACTCTGAATTCTGAGTGAGGTATCTTTGAACAGGAAGATAGGCTGCTAAATTCTATACTGTTACATTTAAGAGAGACTGCCCATGGAGGTCTGTCTGTATTCCAAGAATCACATATAATTTCTACAACAGCTTATGCATCAGATCCGTATCACACAAAAGACTTCTTCTACTTCTTCAGAGTGTGCATTGGGACCTAATAAAGAATTTTTACAAGTAAAATAAATAAATTAATATTAACATTTCCAGGAAATGCAGAAGACAAAAATCAACTTTAACTATAAGAAGATAAGAATTTCCTATCAGTGGTATGTTTGCAAAAGAAGCTTTGCACACTTTCCATGTTCTACTATGCCACTTAACAAACTCAATTTTAAGCTTCTACTAATCTTGAGTTGTAAAAACATCTGATAAAATAGAATAGTGTCCTATTTGTCTTGTATTTCTTCAGTGTCCTAACTGGAATACTGGAGAAATAGGAAAATATTTATAAATACCAGAATATATGGGGAGAAAGCAACATAAACATACACAAATATATAGCACACAATTATATACATACACACACATATATTCATATATATATATATATATCACATAACTGTATTTCATCTTTTCTATATTAAGAAGAGAAGTAGCAAATTTAAATATAAGGATATAAGTTTAAATAAATGAGTTATCAATATCTTTTTAAAATGTTCCTTTTATTAAAAATAAAATTATTTCTCATGAAATATATTCTGATTACAGTTAACCTTGCCCCAACTTTTCCCTGTTTCCCCACCTCCTCTCCCATTCAACGCACACTCTTACATGTCCCTTTAAAAGCAAGGATGCATCTGAAAAATAGATAATTAAAATAAAATGGGACAAAACAGAAACAAATCAGCATACAACAAAACCAACCAACCAACAAACAAACAAAAGAAATAGAGTCAAAGAAAACACAGATGAAAAATCTATAGATGTAGAAGCAGGAACATTTTCACACACAAATATAAAAAAAATATACCTTTGTGTGTGTGTGTGTGTGTGTGTGTGTGTGTGTGTGTGTGTTTGTGTTTAAAAGACATTTAAGGGTAAAACAATCTGACAAAACATTATGAGACATAGAATCCTCAAAAATGGCATTGAGTTTGTTTTGTGTTGGTTATGGGAGCTACCCTTACCAGTGGTTAGCATGCCCAGTGTGACTCCATGGAAGAAAATGAATTTCTCATTTGCAAACAGTTATTATTTCCCCAGGATGATGAAATTTGTTAAATGTTTCTAAACCAATTGAGTTTACTCCTAAGGATCCTCTGTTTAAATCTTGGCCTGTTTTTAACTGGATTATTTGTTTTCTTGATATATGGCTTTCTAATTCTTTATAAATTTTAGATATTACCTCCCTATCACATATAGTTGATAAAAATACTTCCCATTCTGTAGCCTGTTTTTTTTTTTTTTTTTTTTTTTTTTCCTGAATGAAATTGTCCTTTGCCTTACAGAAGCCTTTCAGTTTTATTAGGTTCAATTTATTAGTTGATCTTCATGCTTGTGCTAATGGTCCTTCTGTTCAGAAAATCTTACTTGCAGCACTCCGTTCAAAAATATTATAAAATTAGAAACATTCTTGGTTGCCAATAAATCATTCTCCAGGACAACAGCTGAAATTATCATTATAAATAAACATTTTTTTTCTCTCAATTTTTTTTCACTTAAGATTTAAGGGGAAAAGTATATACTCCTTGGTCTTCTTGAACTGGATAAATATTTACTGGTAAACATATCCTAAAGGAACTTTGAAAGACATAATAAATTACTTTTAGGTTGACTTTCATGGTTCATGTATGTTTAAAATACAAGTTGAATTTGGGGGAAAGGTATCTTGTGACATCAAATACATGGAATTGTATAGTTAGTGCTTTCAACTTCAACTTTCAATCATGGGATGCTACAAAAGAACTGGAGGAACAGGAGTCATTCCTATTCTCAGCGGGAAGATTATTTGTTTTTATTGTTTTGGTTTCTCTAGCATGTAAATCAAACTTTTCCAAACCAGACTACCAAGCAAATTCTTATACTCCATGATATTTTCTTGTTTCTGCATGGTGAGACGCAAATGATTAAGATAAAGACATGATTTTTAAGAAAGAGATGAGTGTTCCTAGGAGACATTTGTACGCCATTATTTGAGTGCCTACTCTCTGTCTGTCTCAGAATTTGCTTGCATTCAGGAGTAAACTCTCTTTATCTGTGTCTCCCCCTCCCTTTCTCTGAGTGGGAGGAATAGTAGCTATTCTAAAGGCACTCAGAGGGTTTTGAGTATACCTATTCGGTGAGTGCTCCATGTGGTACAGTGTCTGCTACACAAGTCTGTCCCATCTGATTTTCTTTGTCTCCCTCATGGGGAATCAGAGCCCTAGGATCATTGGATGATACATTTTATGCCCAACATTCCTATGATTTCTTTTTTTCCTTCTAAGTACAGTACTGATTTTGATTTTGCTAACACTGAAGTATTTATATTCCCTTTATGTCCAGGTACTTTACGCT